AGAAGAGAACTCGGAAGAAGACTAATATTTAGAGGACAGGCAGAAGAAGAGGAGCCAACAGAAGTATAGTTTTTATCTATTACGAATGAAAAAATAACTTGTCCTGTCATTTTCCCTTGAGGATATAGGGTACATCTAGAAATTTCTAACTAAAGGTGAATGTACTTTATCAGTAAAGATGCTAATAAAAATAATTTCCACTTGTTGGCCCTTTCTCTGGGCTAAGCAATTTGTTATACATTTTACATTCATTGTTTTTGTCTATAATCTAACAGTGAGCCCATTATATTATAACAGGCTTACTACAACTTTATAGTTGGGGAAACTGAGACTCAGAAGGTTAAACAAATAAATAAATAAGACAGTAAGGAAGGAAAGTTGTACTTTTTTTAAAAAGTGTTTTTATTTTTATCTTTGTTATACATGCACATAATGTAAAACATTCAAAGCATTTTGTTACCAAAAAATAGCAGTTCCCCACCCTTCTCCCTGTATCCATTTCCCCTCCCCAGGGATAACCATTTACAGCTCATAGCTATAGCTTATGTTGCTACTTCGTGATTTTTCAGTTTTAGACACATCTATTAATTTTCTACAAAAGCAATGAGGTTTAGGCCTCTTCCCTTCCGTGCTTCTGTCTCCCAAACACTTTAAATAATACACATGCTTTTATACTCTTTTATGTGTAACATATTTAACAAAAATGTCAAGTGAAAATAGGAGAAATAGGGGGTGGCTCCATAGTGCAGTGGTTAGCACGTCTGCTTTACATGCAGAAGGTCCTGGTTTCACGCCCCGGGTGGAGTCACAGACCATACCCCGGGTGCGCCAGGCTCCCACCAGTGCGCTGCCCCCGCAGTGCTCGGGGTCGCCAGGCCCCCGGGTGCATGCTGTGAGCATGTAGGAGGAGAAGCCCCGCCTTCAGAGATCCAGTTCTTAGGGGAAATGGCAACATCATAGGGCAGGGGTGGAAGTGGGGGAGTGGGATTAAAGAGGGGAGAAAAAAAGAAAATAGGAGAAACATATGTAGATTTAAGACTATTTCATTTAGTGAGAGATTTTTAAACATTAAATCACAAAACAATAAACTATTAAGTTTTGTTTAAAAAAAGAGAGCATGTTTGTGTGTGTGTGTGTGTGAGAGAGAGAGAGAGACAGAGACAGAGACAGAGACAGAGACAGAGAGAGAGTATCTCAAATACTTGGCCGGACAGAGAAGTTATTCCAAGTTTATGTCTACCTGAGTAAGTGACCGTTTTTATTGTCAAATAATTTATAACTGAAAAGATCTTTCACATATTTCACCCTTGGTACTTTAAGATATGAGAACATATCCATATGTATAAGCTAACACCATCTCTGTTTTATAAATTAATCACTGTAAATTCTCATTTGATCTAACAAAGAAAGTCACTGGTTATGACCTGCAAGACCATTGAAAATCAAGTGGTTTCATTCATGGGAATTCCGTCATGATTTGTCAATTATCCTCTCCCTGCACCAGACCTGAGCGTTTTCCAGAGTTCTATCATTTTTATTTTATGACTCTAAAAATAACATTATCAGTTTCTACCAGTTTATTTATCCCTGCCCTAAAAGAATCCACAGTTTAATAGGGGAGATATTCATGAAACACAACATTACAGTCCGATAAAATCAGACTCGTTTGTGGGAAGAGGTCCAGGGAACACTGTAACCTGAATGAGGCTCAATTCTCTTTCATTCTGAAATCCAAGATATTTGTCACTCATACTGTTGGGAACTACAGGTATAAGACCTTGATTACTTTTGAAATTCCAATAGAGAGAACACTGATATGATGCTTTCTCCCATATGAGCCAAACAAGAAAAGAACATCAGACTCCAAGGCTGAGGACCAGAGCGCTTCAGACCCTGAGATGAGCTTGGTGGTAGGAGACCTGCGGACCTGTTTGCACATGGCTGGTTTCACAATAGGCCAAAAAAGGCCAAAAGAGCTGAGTCCTCCCTTGCCCTCAGTCAGGTAGAGTATAGGGCTACCAGCAAAGAAACAGGATTTTTTTGGATGCCTCTGCAGGAAACAGACAGCAGCCAGTCTGCCTTTATAAGCTCCCAGCAGAAAGGATACGTTATCTGCAAGAGAAAAGCAATCCAACTGTCATTAATCTTTTCATCTCTACAACACTAGGATCTAGAAGATAATGAGTCACATATGCTAGGCAAGATAAACCATTCACCTGTCAGTTGTGGGGAAAGAGAAGGAAGAAAAGATGGAAAGGAAAAGGGAAGAGAGGGAACAAGGAAAAGTATTTGAGGATTATCAAGAATTCATAGAGTCTATCAGTCAGGAACCCAATCCAAAGAAAACATTTGAGGAAAGCTGGTAGTCAGACTACAAAGAAATAACTAGAACCCCAAGATAGAGAAAATGAAGAAGAGAGGAAACTTTGGTAGGCAATGATCTTTGATCTATGCTCTCTTACTATTTCCTCATGCGTGCATGTCTCTCTCTCAGACACACACGTGCACATTAATGCAACATTAATGCAAGTCGATATAGTAAGGCTATGTGGGAATGTATAAAATATAAATGCTAAATATGAAGTCAAAACAGAAGGAACATACTGTTAAGGGAAATTATAGTAAACCTAACCTATCTCAGCAAAACCCGAGGGTTGGGAAGGTGGCAGATGAGGAGAAGGGGGAATTAAAGTCCTTTCAAAGGCATCACTGAAGGAAGGGAGGAGTAAAAGGATCCTAAATTTCTTATCTTATTGGAATGGAGAGAAAAGAAGGGGAAGACAGTGTGTGGTGGGGTAAATGGTGCATCTTGTTTGGGGAAATATTTGTCTTATTTTTAAATAATAATAGAACTATATGCACTTAATTATTTGAGTGAGAAAAGGGAGGAGAATCACTAATGAAATGGAACAGTACAGATAACAACTCTGAACAAACTATAACAAGATTAGAAATAATGAAAAGGTGGCCAAAAAACTCCTTGAAATTAAAGGTATAGAAAGGTGATATTTGGTGAGGAAAAAAGCTATTCTCTCTTCTTGACTCCATTCATTCAGCAAAATTTATTGAAATGAATTCTGAAAAATAGTTTCTTCCTTAGATTTAGTTATGTTTTAACAAACAGTAGTTTAGCAAAACAGCTTTAGGTAGTTAAGTGGAAATGTCAACCATTGATATATTATATTTTGTCTTTTTCCTCCAGGATTGATAACTGGCTTAATGCAGCAATTGAGTGCTTGGAATATTTCCCTGACCAGTTAATAGTTTTGGTTAGTCAGCAGTTAGTGCAAAACAGAAATGAAGAGACAAGATGGAATATACAGAAGAAGATACTTTTTGATGTCATAGAAAAATATTATAATCAAAAGAGAGAGAGCATGTTAACTGATGAGTATTTTGATATTCATTCAGAAATTATTGAACTTTTAGGTAAGAGAAGATGTTTAAACTTTGTTTTTGCATAACAAAATATTTTTTAAAATACAAGTTGAATAAAATGTTATATATGAGTATTTCATTTTAATATTTTCTTCCATGGTGTCAAAATACTCCATGGAGTCTTTTCACTTCATTAGTATCACCTGCCATGTAAGTCGTGCTATCAGATGTAAACTAATGTATTATAGGACATTAGTTCTAAGGTCATTATATCACAGAGGCATTCTAAGAAACATATTTTGATATAGTACAGGATTCGAGAACTGAGGTATCTAGAAATATTTTAGATGTATTAACTTGCTGGTTATTTAGCAAAATAAAAATTGAGTGACATAACATCATGTCACCTTTTTAGCTATGTAAGTGACCATATAATTTCTAGTTAAAAACAAAATACTGTTTGATAATGCTGGGTATAATTTTGTAGGTGGTTGGCATATTACATAGAATTATATAGATAACTTCCTGTGTGTTTGAAATATTTCATAATGAAAATTTTGAAGTATGAAAAAGAATCTGCAAACCAAATATAGCATCTGAACATCTCCGTTGACTACAAAAACAGGTAGGAAAAATTGCAGTATGATAACAAAACTGTGGACCTGAAAGCTCTTGCTAAAGCAGTTTTGCAAACGAAATCATTATTAAAAGTACAGGCAGAACAACTTGTCTGGTTTCTACTGGAATATTACTCTGAACTCTTCAAGCTATTTCTGGCATTTTGTCTAGGAACATTAATTACTAAGCTATTTGTGTCAAGCAAAAAGGTAAATCATTCATTTAATAATTTATTGAGTACCTATAATATGCAAAGTTTGAAGGAATGCTGTCTCCCCCTACCCACTAAAGAGAAGAAAGAGGATATTGATATTTGCAAATTTATTGATTAATTTCTTCAACTCATTTCTGGTGCATTACTATGTGCCAGGCACTGTTCTGGGTGCTTAGAATATACCAGCAAACAAAATACAAAGATGCGAGCTCTTGATGAGTTTATATTCAAGTGAGCCTGACAGACAATAAAAAAAAATACAATCAAGTCAAGTCATATAGTTGGATAGAAGGCAATAAACGCAATAGAAAATAGAAAAAGTGCAAGTTAAGAGGATTTATGGTGCTAGGGTGGGGATGATTGGGACCTTATGGTATTAAACAGGGTGGCCGAGATTGGGTTCAATGAGAAAGTGAAATCTGAGCAAAGACTAGAAAGAGGAGAGTCAAGCTAATGGCTGTGAGACTGGCAGTAGTGGGCAGAGAGAATGTTCCTAGAGCAGAGGCCCTGGGGGTGATGCATGCCTGGGTGCTGAGGGACAGCAAGGAAGTGGTAAGCAGAGGGGATGTGGTATGAGATGAGGTTCGGGAGGTGGAGGCCCTTGTAGGCCATTGGAGAGACCTTGTTTCTCCTAGGGGTAAAATGGGGAATCACAGAAGGGTTTGATCAGAACAGTGGCCTGATCTAACTGACATTTTAAAGACAACTCCGGCATTTGTGTTGAGAATAGATTGTAGAGAGACAAGGGTAGAAGTAGAAATGAACACCTTTTAGGAGGCTGTTGTAATAATCTGGACAAGGGATGTAGTGAGTTGAAATAGAGGGGTAGCAATAAAGTTGGTAAAATGTGGTCAGATTCTTGATATATTTAGAAAATGTATCAAGAAAAAGATTGTTTTTTAGCCTCACTACTATATTTTAGTACCAACAGTGATATTTCTCCAAAGCTCTACAAAAAAATTGTTCCCTTCAGTTTTTTGTTTTTTGGTGGGTTTTTTTTTTGGCTTAAAAAATGTCTCATGTCATAAGAAACGTTGGTTCAAGTTCTGTAACAGTTCTGATCAACCTTAACTGAAGTTTCTTTTCCAGTATTTCAGAGAAAAATGTGCTACTAAGTATATACAATAGAAGCAGTCCCCCATTTATAAATTTTGAATAAAATTCACATTCTAAAAGCTCATTTTAAGTCAACTGTTAGGTATTCTGTACCTAATTTTTCATCAGAAAATATAGTAGATGAAGGTGGGGGCACCCGTGTTATGTGAATGTTTAATTCTACAGTCACTAAACAAAAATCCACGTATGTAGTTTATTTGTAAAATGGGTCCCAGATTTCAACTAAGAATTCCAAAAGAACATTCCCTCTTCTCTCACCCTTACCACTTAGCCTCTCCACTTTCTTCTCTCTCACCCCGCCTCCTCTTCTGGGTAAATGAGTTCTCTTCTTTCCTACCTATGATCAAGAAATTAGAAAGGATTTTTTCATTTCTTTTGCTTCACCATCGTGTCAGAACCAGCAGGGTCATAAAAAAACATACCACTGCAAATTTTGTGGCAGGCCACTTGAGGGAGAAAAGAACTTGACATGAGTTGAAGGAAGTGAGCATGTGGGATTCAGGAAGCAGGGAGAAGCAGCTCTGATGACTGGTTTCTGGAGATTAGGGGATGAGGTATTTCAGAGAGGCTGAGATGGGGGCATTTATGATAGGAGCTCGCAAACATGCCACGTTTTTTTTTTTTCCTGTAACAAGGCTTTACCTATGCTGTCTATTGTCTGTCTGGAACATTTTTCTCCCAAATCTTCTTATGGCTCACTCCACATCTATTTCGGCCTCTGCTTAAAATATTACTCTCTCAGACAGAAGCACTTCCCAACTAAGATGGCTACCCATCTTCTTTACTCTAGCCTATTACTCTGCTTTATGCCTTCTTCATGGTACCTATCACTACTTGAAATTATATTTGCTGATTTTTTAAAATTGTCTTTCTCTCCTATGAGGATGTAAGTTTCAAGAGTTCAGAAACTTGATTTGGTTATCACCTAGAACAGTGCCTGGAACATAGCAATCACTCTGAATTTTTATTGAATGATAGAATGAATTAATGGGGACAGCTTCATAGCTGGAAATTGGCAGGACAACAGAAACTAAAGGAAAGGTAGCCTGGGGTCCAGGATGAAGGAACTATGTTGGCATGAGGTTCAGCATTGGTATGTCTGTAACAATATTAATGGAGGGATTATTTCCCCAAGACACATGTAGTAATCTGAGACTACTTTTGTGTAACAAAACTGGAAAAGAGTATCTATTTTAAGATAATAATGTTTTAATGTATTTTATAGCTACTATTTGCATACTGGCCATGAAATTACAATATAAAATTATTTAGATCAGTGCTATTTGGATCTACAAATAATTTTTATTATTATAGGAGAATGACTGCTTAACATAGTTTTAGATATAGTACATACTTGGAAGTAGAAAATAGAATTTTAAGAATTCTAAAAAAATTTTCAACACACCTTTTATAAGTCAGAGGTCTTCTGCTATTTGCTGCTTCTCCCATCTGCAGTCCTCTTCCTCTGCTCATTGATCAAAAATATCGAGGTTTTTTTTTTCTATGTTGGATTCTGGCTATAAAAAAATTTATATTAAGTATTTTTAAATACCTGGGTTTTTTTTGGTGTGTGTGTGTGTGTGTTTTATAGATACCAGTTACTTTATTGGATCTAGTTAGTAAGAAACTTAAGAAACTTCATCATGGAGAAGATCTAGATGCCATAGCAGGTATTGATTCAGACTCGTTCCATCTTTCTAAGTGACTATTCTAGCCAAGGGTAAGTATGTAATAAATATATAATGTTATAAAAGATAGTTACATTAAGGTTATTTTTTTAACATCGCCAGAGCAAGTTTTTTTTCTAGATTTTTTTTTTTTTTGGAAATCCTTTGTTTGCTTCCTTTTCTTATAAAAAGATGAAAACCATCTATCATTGCTGCTCCCAAGTCTCACCTCCCTTTCTGCTTTTTACCCACCGGCTGCCTCATTGCTCCTGTACTCACTGTTGCCTTTTTTTGTGACTCTCTCAGATTCTTTCTCTTGTCATTCCTTCTTCCCTTCCCTCCTCTTTTTTAGGAAATGACCAAGTTTTATGGAGGAGGAGCCTGATCTCTCCCACCCCCAGTTGAATAGACTCCATGGTGTCTTGTGGTGATTGATCTGATTCCTGAACTTAGAATTTCTTTAAACTGTGATCCATTTCCCTTGACAAAGTAGGAGACCATATTTTCTGAGGAGTGGTAAGGGGAACCTTTAAATGGATGACATGAATGAAAAGGAGGGAATAGTTCGAAATAGGTGGTTAGGGGAATGGGAAAAGCAGTTGAAAAAAGACAAGTAAATGGATTGATGAGTAATTTCTGAGCACTCGGATGAAGTGAATTATAAATTGTAGTGGTGCCAATTTGGACATTATTTTTCTCAGCAGCACTTATTTACTTGAATGTCAGAGTGGAAAAGATAGATTCAAGCATTGATTAAGAGAGCTGAGATTTTGCTTTGTCAGGTGTTGCAGAAAGATTGGAGTGCAAAAGAATTGAGGACACACGTTAGTGAGAAAATGGTTCAGATGTTCAGATATGTGTCTGGATGGGAAAGAAGAGATGATGAACAAAGAAAAGTGGCACATCAGGGTTTGATGTTCTGAGATTGACTAGAGTTGTGCCATACCTAAAGGCAGTTCAACATAGTGGTTAAGACTCCGAACCCTGGTAGTGGACAATCCTAGATCCAGATCCTAGCTCAGCCAATTGCTAGCCATGTGGCCCAAGCTTTCATTTCTTTATCAGTAAGATTGGTAATAATAATACCTACACCTTAGGATACTGAAGATTTCATGAGAAAAAGTACAAGAAGTTTGGCAGATATTAAGTACTGATTATAAGCTATTATTATTTGAAGGATAGTAGATTCTGAATAGGTCATTGGGTGCAGGAGTTTTAAGTTTTCAGAAGCAGTATAATTCCAGGATATTACGTAGATGTGTTTAAGTGAAGGCCATTATAGTGAAAATAGGCAAAACCCCAATTATTAATGAGCTTTAGGATTTCAAAGGTTACTCTGATTGAATTGCTTTGGTGTGTATGGAGGCTAAGATGTCTTCATCTATAGATAAGCATGGAGAGAGGTTTGGTTGACTCTACACGCTAAGACAGCTCACAGAGTATTGCTCATGTTCATGAAATTGTGTTTATGTTTTGAACATGCCTCTAATGGAGTACAGAGCACACTCCCCCCAAATATGGTACTTGGCATATTGAATATTTTAAGTGGAAGGAGTGAGAAAATGGCAGAAGCAGGCAGATCACTCTGACCTTCCCCCATTACCCTTCTTGCCTGAAACAGGCGATAAAACCCACATGTGAGAAGTCCTCTCCCTGTACCCAGAGGAGCATCCTTATCTCCAAAGACAAAAGGACTCTGAGAAGAATCCAAACAAACAGGCCTTGCTGTTTCCTCCAGTTTATTACCTCAGACTCCATAACCTATCATATTCCTCCACGACTGTGCACTCATCAAACCCAGCATAAAAATACAGTTTCTTTGGGTATTTCTTTCCTTATGAAGGCTCCCAGGTCACATAAAATTTATATTTTTAAATAAATCTGTATGCTTTTCTCCTGTTAATCTTGCTTTTTCATTTTATCTTTCAGACCCAGCCAGGGACTCAAAGAGGGTGAAGGAAAACTTTTCCTCTCCTACACCTCCAATTTATTAGCTATGTCTCTTAAATTCCGTCTGTATTTCTCTTGAAACTGGGATAGTGGTTCCTCACTTCTAGTTCACAGAGTTATTTTGGAGATTAAGAAAAAAAAAAAACAACCAACATATGTAAAATAATATAGTGTTTTGCTAAAGTACACAGTGCTTGGAAAGAAAAAGTATTATTACTCTGAAGCAAAGAAAATATGAGTATAAGTATTATCACCTACCATACTTTGGGAAAAAATAAGTCTAGCATAAGGACAGTTTGGATAAGTACATTTTTATTTTGTTATTTTTTTTAACTTGCTTTTCCATTTGTACTTTTTTTTTAAGGCTTCACATTTTGCCAATGCTTGACATACAAAGAATTTGAAAAACAAAAGGAAAGGACAATTCAATATCTTCATCAGTTGGCTCTTGAGATTAATGGTAACCCTGGCATCTCTTTCAAACAAAAAAAGAGATTAATTAAGGAATTTAAAAAACACCATCCAGAAGCTTCGTGTTAACATTTCTGGGGCAAAAACCTACCATTTGTAAATATGAAGAACTCTCTGGTGGTTTTCTCAAACTACCATACTTACACATTAGGAACAGGCTAGCCTGCAAACATTATAACTGTAATCATGCTTAAAATATGTTAAGGAAGGTGGTCAAAAGGATAAACTTCCAATTATAAAATAAATAGTCCTGGGGAGGTAATGTATAGCATGGCAACTATAGTTAATAATAATACTATATTGTATATTTGTAAGCTGCTAAGAGAGATCTTTAAAAAAATTTAAGTTTTTAACTTTAGAAGGGAATACAAGTTAAGTTCATGTATGCTGATTTACTTAATTACGCTGCTAAAATCATATATTAAATGTGCTGCTATTGTTAGGGATCTGGTACATTTAGTATCTTTAGAATTCCTTTTTTTCCACAGAAAAGTAACATCTCATGAGTTCTCTGAAGAACACATGCATTTTCCTTAGTATGTATTATTTTTAAGCTATCTCCCTTAGGCCACTATAACTTAAACACTGTGAACCATCTAAATAGGGTAAGACTTATAAAGTAGAAGATTTTGAAAGGTACAAATTTAAAATTCATGAGTATCTAAAACTATGATATTGTCTTCTCCCTCTAATTCTTATTTAGTCCATATTTTATGGTTTTCTTCTGCTGGTTTTCTTCTTCCTCGCCTCCCTCTCTTCCTTCCTTCAAATTAGTTATTTCATTTGATGCATTATTTTCTCAATGTGACATAGGTTGAAGATTCAATCTCTATTGAAAGTTACATAGAAATACATTCCTTTGTGGTCTTACTTTATGCCTTGATCACAGTGAAAGAGAAACATATATCATAAAATATATATTGAACTGTCATCGATTTTATCTTTTTGTATAAAAATCATTTTTCTTGAATTTGAATGCTTAGAGTCAAAGTTCTCGATTAAGATCTATGAAAAGGTTTCAGAGGCGAAAATACAATGTACTTTCTGAAATTGTATGCAATTTTTTTGTGTATATGTATTTATGGCATTTTTCTAGGGAGAGGATTCATAGCTTTTACCAGATTTTCAAAGGGCATTGTGATCCAAGCTCATTAAGAACCACAGGGTTAGAGAATCAACACCATTGATTTGGCTTCAGAGAGACATACCAAAGGCCTTTGCTGATGTATATATATATATTTTTTCCAAAATTTGCTTTTACTTTGTGGATAAACTATTAGTCTAAATGTTCAGATGTTATGTTAAAATAAGGGAATTAGCTAGATGAATTCTAAGTTCTGGCCCATTTAAACAAAACAAAAACACAGTAAAACAATTCTATGATACTAGAAGATGTAACTGTCCTAATCTGTATAGGGTTATTTCCAGTTGGGGAGGAAATCGATACACCTTCTATAGAAGACTTGAGAGGGTGATTCTAGAGAGACCGGGAAAATACTGGAAACATGCAGCCAAACCCTCTTAATTGGAGCGGGTACAGGGGAGAGTCTCCTTATTAGGAAGACTTAGGAACATTTCCATTTCAGTGTTCTGTGCGAGTCAGGTGGGGAACTGCTCACCATCACCATGAATAGCTGACACTTTGAGAAATATATTAACGATCTTATCATATCCTTGGATCTGCTGCTCAGATCATATAAAACCTTCAGTAAATATCTTTCTTCTGAGCCTCAGTTTTGTTTTTAATCTCTAGAATAAAAACATACACGCATGGATTTGTATTTAAAGATTAGACCAGAAATATCAAAGATATGCATGAGAGTATGGTATGGTAAGAAACAAGAGTATGGGCTCTGGAGTCAGATACCTGGATTTACTACTTGACAGACTTGGGTTCAGAATGGAAAATGTTAGCAAGTGAGTGCCCTAGATAGATTAAGGTAAAATCCAATTTAGACATAGAATTTCTAGAAGTTAGTCATTCATGAATGTTTAAATGTTTTATTATTTAAATTGAATGAATCTCCTGTAACTCTTTTATTCCCTAATGGGGTTCATTTTGAGAAACATATTACTATCAATGATTTCTAATGAATGTTTTTGAAGGTTCTGAAGCATTAATTCCTAAAGAAAAATTCCTAACCCAGCAGTGCCCCTCCACCTAGTGACAGCTCCATAAATTACAGTTATTAGGCTTAAAAAGAATTCCCAAGGGTCTTGTCATTCAATTTTAGCCTAAACCTTTTTGAGGGACTTAAATGCAAACTATTTTTTTCCCTGTATAAATAAAATCCAGCTCCAATCACTGTAAAGCTTACCTCTTGTAGGAACATCCAGTAAATTTCTATGAGAATCCACAGCCTGATTCATAGTACTTAAGTCTCTGCTTAAACTTACATTACACACATTCCTAAATACTATCCAAGGTAAGTGAGATTTTCTAACTCAAGCAAATAAATGTTGAGACAAAACCTTTCTCTCATAATTGACATAATATTCAAGATTGAAAGCCATTCCTGACACCTTTTTTCTGGAAATCTTTCCTCCCTGTACGCTCTACAGGTGGATTTGGGAGTGCTTTTACTATGCGATTGCCATGTGCTAGAAAAATTTTGAACATAAAAGCCAAAAAGTTGGTGTTCCAGCTCCAGCTCTGTCACTTATCTATGTGATCAGTGACACTATTAGGCAACTTTGTCCTTTAATTGATTCATTCATTGTGTATAATTCAATATTTGATGTATGGCCAGCACTCCAATTCTGGCTAGTGCCAGCCATATTATGCAGAACCACCTGTAAATTAGGTCTAAATTTTTTCTCTTTGGTATTAAGGAACCTCCATGAGGTCACATATGTGAGTTGAGGGAAAGGTTAACATTGCACTAAGAGCAAATGCTCTGTGTGCAAACTCATGCAATAAACTTGTCCGAGTCCAATCTTATATATTCTACTTCTACTTGATGATGGCAGCTACTGTGTGCATGCTTTAATTGGCAGATGTTTTTGATTCCAGGGAGCAGAACTGAGAGCAGCATTTCTGGTTGTACATTTTACATGATGATATGGCTAGAGATAAGGGCTAGTGGTCTGACTAGAGTAGGGGTTCCCAACCCCCGGGCCATTGACCAATACTGGTCCATGGCCTGTTAGGAACTGGGCCGTGCATCAGGAGGTGAGTGGTGGGCCAGTGAGCGAAGCTTCCTCTGTATTTGCAGCCACCAGACTCCCAGTCACTGCCTCAGCTCCACCTCAGATCATCAGGCATTAGATTCTCAGGAGCACCGGTCCCCGGTGACAAAAAGGTTGGGGATCGCTGGACTGGAAGATCAGAGACTTGAAAACTAAAGACAAGAAACCCGGGAACTAGAAGCTTTAGGAAAGTATGTGAATGGTCATCTCAGAATAGGCCCCAAGTGTGAGGATATTTGTGTCCAGTGTAAAAGCTCATTAAAGGCCTCTACTGTAGGGAAGACTCTAGATGGACAACATAGCCTATACAGTATATATTAGCCCCTTTCTCCAGCCATCCCAGTGCTTCTCAACTTACATTCTGGGAAAATTCCCTCAGCTTTTTTGTTTTTCAGTCTTTAGTAGTATCTGTTCTGCTATTCAACCCATCAATTAAGCATACATAATCCTATTTTTAATTTCTAAGATCTATCTTTGTTATAACAACCTGTTCTTGTAATAGATGCAGTTACCTCATCAGTCTCTTATAGATTACTTATGAAGTTTCTTTTACTTATTTTATTCCCTTAGGGGTTAATTTTTGTTTCTTGGATTTGGTGCCTCTCTGCTGATTAAGTACTCCTCTGATGTTTAATACATGGGCGACTGTTTTTTTTTCATTTATGAATTCCTCTTTACCTGCTGATGAATCTAAGTTCTAATTATGGTGCCTTTCCTCAGCAGGAGGAAAGTGTACTAAGTTCTCTAGGGCCCTGCCCAGTCAGAATTCCAATGAAGTCTGAACTCTTTTTTAGCCAAAGATCAGTGTCACCAATCAGCTGTTCCCTTAATTTGTTTTATTCTGATGCTTAGTGGACAGCTCTTAAACTTCTACTCTTACCCCTGAGCCTCAATTCTAAGAAAAGGAGTAGTACTCAGCTGATTCCGATTCATTCATTCAATGGCTTGCCCATGATCCACTTTGTATTTGCCCTGAATTAAAATTACCGCTGGACTTGTTCTTATGTCTTCAGTAGTTTTCTCCTGTCCTGATGCAGGACAAAGTTTTTCTTGTTCTTTTTTCTCGAACAACTTAACCCAATTTGTTTTCCATCTTTTAGAAATTACTCCGCATTTGTTCATTGAGGGGACCCATTTGTTTCCTAGTATCACTTAAGGATCTACTCTTCTATGGAAATATGTCAACTATTTCATGCACACAGTAAAGTACAGATTTTAATATGAACATCCATGTGTCCACCACCCAGCTTAAAAAATAATATATCTCAAATAGCACTGAAGTGTTCCCTGTACATTCCTCCCTGATCTCATTTACCTCTCTCCCTTCTCCAACAGAAATATTTAAAGGGATCTGGCAAAAGTAAAGAAAGTAGGTGAACATGAT